ATAATGCTATAACTAGTTTTTAAGTTTAACGAATTGTCTGGTAATTTCAAATGTATTACAGCCAATAATTGCATCTAATAAATAGTCAAAGAATGATGATCGCAGGTGCAACCATTCTCGAAATATTGAGGCTCAAACTTTTTGGGTTAATGGCCAAAATCAAGCGACCTATCTATTGCTTGACATAAGAATTATACTGTTGATGTGTAGAGACTGTTTTTATCGAACAATAATAAGTTTCATCTCTCTAAATTTTGTGGTCACAGAATGCGACACGTTTAACTCAAAATCGTTCTTATCGGTTTTACAGAAACACAAAGTTTTATTTCATAAAATAAATTACATTATCTGGTAGACCATTAAAATTTACATCGAGGAAAATAAGTCTTATAAAAATATTTGCTTCGATAATTGAATAAAACGCGATCGAAGTTTCAACTTCGAGCACGATTTTCTCGGAAACTATTGATAAGAGAAACTTTTTAATTGCATTAAAGGATTCAGTTTTCATGCCGCTACAAGTCAACATAGGTTTAATTTTGAAGACACTAACTTTTACCCGTTTTTACCCATTTGTGTCAATTTTTATATAAACATGGCAATTGTGTTGTTTATTGTGTCTTTTGAGTAATAACAAATATTTTCAATACCAAGGTAAACCTGTGAAAGGCTGTTAAAAAGTGCGAGCACAGATATTTTTTTCTTAGCACTATTGACTTCAGTTTTGATGGCCTACAAACCAGTAAGTCCTTACTTTTATGTCCAAAGGAATCTCTAAACACACAAAATAGTGCTTTATAAACAAAACTAACGACTTCTCTGACGCAGAGTTATCTTTGATCAACACAAAGCGACACTATTTGTATTCGTGTTTACCTATCATGTTTCTATGGTTTGGAATAATGAAAGCAATGGTGATGTTAACAAAAGTTTGATTTGAAATTCGGATAATTAAAGTAAAATCGTCAGAATCATGCACAAATTAGATCAATAAATGGATGATTCTCATTGCCATTCAAGATTATTATCATGATGAGAAAAGTTTCCCTACTGAGCCAACAACTAACAGTCTAAACTCAAATTAGGAGAGAATCCATTGATTACTCATTTTAATTTCCTTTTAACACTTTAAATGGCTTTTGTGTGATTATTGATTTTATCGAATAGGGTTTGATGGTTCAGAATAACTAATCATGTTTCTATGGTTTGAATGGTGAAAGTAATTGTGTTGACAGAGAAAAGTTGACTTTCAATTAATATAGCTAACTAATACAGTTTATCATTAATCCGGGATAAAAAGCAATTATAATTGCATCAAAACATCCTCGAAATAATTTAGTAGAGCGTTAAGTATATTTAGCGCCTCTTTACAATTATAACTAAAAGAACTGATTGCGATCGTTTTTGTATGGGAAATTATTTAGCCGTTTTCAATCAGTTTGAAAAGATCAGACCAATCATTCACAAAGTTTATATTAGACACGATCTAGAAATAATGAATAAACGCTTTTGTTTTTAAGATTTTTATTGAATTCGTGCATTGAAAATTAGTGCTTAAAAATACAGATTAACCGTGCAAACATGTTAATTCATATGGAATTTGTGTTTCAATATGAGTGTTAGTCTTAGAATGGGATTGTAAATGGATGATATGGATGGCCAGCATAAGTATTAAATGCAACTGCTCTCCAATTACGGTTGAAACTATTGATTGTAGCGATTTCTTCTGGTGCCAGTTCGAAATCGAAAATATCAATATTCTCTGCAATTCTAGTAGGTGTAACACTTTTGGGAATAACAATTAGACCACGTTGATTAGCATATCGAAGTAAAACTTGAGCTGATGTTTTGCCGTGTTTCTTGGCAATCTCTTTGATTTTAGGGTCATCGAGAAGCGATGGATCCTCCGGCTTAGCCCAGGGTCTATCAGGAGAACCCAGTGGACTGTATGCTGTAACAGCAATGCCATTTTTAAGGCAAAAATCAATCAATGGCTCTTGAGTCAAGTAAGGATGAACTTCAATTTGGTTTGTCACTGGTTTGATTTCACAATTGTCGAGAATTCGTTTGATTTGCTCAGAGTTGAAGTTTGAAATACCAATAGATTTGGATAATCCAGCTTTGTGAACATCTTCCATACCTTTCCATGTTTCTAAATAGTCCACATCAGAACGAATCATTTTGCCTTCAGCATCTTCTGGAAACATTGAACCTCCCTCTTGAACACCCACTGGAAAGTGGATTAGGTATAAATCGAGGTAATCAAGACCAAGATTTTTCAAGGATAGTTTACAGGCTTCGGTCACTTTAGCTCGAGAGTGATACGAGTTCCAACATTTAGATGTAATGAAAACATCTTCACGTTTCAAAGAACCGGATCCAAACACTTCCTTCAAAGCTTGGCCAACTTCATCTTCATTCTGGTAAACCAAAGCACAATCAATATGGCGATATCCAGCTTCCAATAAAGCAAACTTAACAGCGTTTTTCACTTCACCAGGCTTAGATTTCCAAGTTCCTAAACCAAAAACAGGAATCTGATTCCCGTCAGATAAAGTCATTTTTGTTCCTTTTGCTGCTGCAACCATGTTGAGGATAGGTGTATATCTGTGAAGAGAATAAAATATTAACTGAGAAACTCAATGAAAGTGACAAAAGATACAGATTTTCTGCTATTTATATCATGTTACAATGTAGATTAGAAGTTCTGAATGGAACATATTATCTTTAACATGTCAGATAATATGTTTTATCATTCAAACATGACAATTATTATAAAGCAGTTCAACAGAAATACTGATTATTCTTACCAAAGGTGTCCTTGATCAATATTAAAATCGAAACCTTTACTTGAGCTTTTTATATCCATGTTTAGCTAATCATGTTTCCATGGTTCTGAATAATGAAAATAATGGCGTAGAAAGGTTGGCATTTAAATAAGATAACTAACTAATACCACTTAATGTCGTTTTAGATTGTAAAGACGAAACATTTACAATGAAAGACTAGTTTCGGCAAATAAGATACCTAAGGTACTTAACACCGAGGTGTGAATTTTCAACCTTCATTAAAGCTTAAGATGTTGATAATTTTGTTGGATATCAATAAGCCATGCATCTGAGTACATTAGCTCTGAAGATTACCTGAATTACTGTTCAAACATGATGAAGCATGTTTCGCTAAGTTTGCAAGAAATTGATTATTGATTGAAAATTATTTTTGGTCTCTTCATTTTTAAGTGGGTTTTTGGGTTTCTCTGAAATTATCTGTCCATTGACAAAAACAATAAAAATTCACACGTCAGTGTTAAGTACCTTCTTTGACAAAACTGGTCTTTCAATGTGCATGTTTGGTCTTACAATCTGAAACCACTGTGGTATAATCTGGATAAAGAAGCGATCTACATGATTATATACTCCAGTACTTGGCTAAGGTTGAACAAGTAATCGTTCGACTTACTTTAGCCCTTTAACAGTCTTTCGCAGGTTTACCTTGGCATCGATAATATTGATTGTAACTAAAAAGACACAATTAGCAACACAATAGTCACATTTATGCACACATTGACACAAGTGGGTAAAAAAGAGTAAAAATAAGTTTCACTAAAATAAAAACTCTGTTACCTTGTAGACACATAAAAACTGAGTCCTTTTATGCGATTTAAAAGTTTCTCTGACGAACAGTTTTCGAGAAAATCGTGTTCAAAGTTGAAACTTTGATCGCGTTTTATTCAATTATCGATGCAAATATTTTTATGAGACGAATTTTTCTCGATGTAAATTCAAATTGCCAACCAGAAAATGTACTTTATTTTATGAAATAAAACTTTGTTTTGCCGTAAAACCGATAAGTTTGATTTTGAGTTAAACGTGTCGCATTCTGTGATCACAAG